TCGGCCTCCTCTATAACGCGAGGAGCTAGACGAAACAGCCCAGGGCCTCCTATCACACTCTGATGATCCGGGACTCTAAGACTCCGTGGAGAAAGGACTGCCCACGGGGGAGCCTGGCCTCACGTCTTAAGTCCAGCGTTGTCCAGCACCAGCTCTTCGAGGCTCCCCGACTTGCTGAGGGTATGTAGCACCTGTTCTAGCACATCTGAGCCCTGAGGACAGAGGGGTCCCGCCATCAGGGGCCAAGAAGAGCACTCTCTCTGCTCCCCTTCCCCGAGACCTCCTGCTTACCAGTCTCAAGTCTTTGCAGTAGAGCTTGGTGAACCACTGGTTGTAGGCAAGGGCTGCCACCATTAGGGCCAGATCTCTGGGGATATGGGACAGGACAAGAAAGGATGAACTGGGCCAAGAATGAAGAGACTAAGAGTGGGATGGCTGGGGGGGGGGGGGGGGGACGGGGGACGGACACGGGGGACGGGGGGACGGACTCTAGATGGGTGGACGGCAGTGGGGTAGACGGTTGGAATTGGAGGGGTGAAGCAGGGCCTGTGGGGAGGACCAGAATGGGAACCTTGAGAAGGGCAAGGCCGAGGCTGGGAATTTGGGGGGTTAAGTTTCTGCCCATCTGCTTACCGGCTCTCCAAGTGGCTGAAATCCAGAAGATTGAACTCTCGGTTATCCTCAGCATGGTAGATGGTGTCCACATCCTTGGAGGGGTAGAAGCGGCTCAGATCTGCTCCAGCCCCCTCCGCTGCCCCCTCCCTTTGGCCACCCCCCCATCCCCTGCCCAACGCACCCATTGCACCTCCTCCCGGCAGTGAAGTCCGTTGTAGTCACACAGGGCAGCATAGGTCTCAGAGAAGCCACCTGTAGGGCAGGAGATGCGCCGGCTCCGTGTTGGCGAGGGGGAGGGGAAAAAGGCTTGGGTTTCAAGGTATGGTCAAGGTCATTGCATGGTCAAGGTCATTGCATGTGCCAGTGTCCTAGGCTCCTTCCACGCCATAAACCCCCTGAGGTCCGGGAGCCTGAGGTCCTCAGGACAGGCAAAGACCCTCCGGGCAAAACCCATGCACAGAGGGTTCTGGATATGGGGCAGGGTGCGCCAAAGACCCACGTTCTCACATCTGCCCCTGCTCACCACACACACTGTGAGTGGTAGAAGTGGAAGTTTCCGAGTTGGGAGATGTGTCTCGGGGCCCCTCCGGGGTGTCTGCATTCCCACGCCGGATCAAACACCTGGAAGGTGAACAAATCCTTTCAGAGAGAGGTACAAGAGGCCCTCAGTTCTCCCTGGATGACTGTGTGGGGGTCTCCAGGGAAGAGCAGAGAGAATTCTTGTCCTGGGAGCCCAGACCAACAGGAAGGAGAATGCCGCCTGCAGTCTAATCCTTCGGGAGACCCCTTATCTGCCACTCACCCAGGGCCAGGGCAGACCTTGGAGAGGGCAGAGCTCACATGCCGCGTCACCTGGTCCACACTCTCAGTTGACGGCAGCCGCATGCTCACCATGCCACGCTCAGTCTCCACCAGGATCTGAGGGGGAGGGGGGAGCCTCAGATGCCCATTCCCTCTTCTAATCGGCCCAGCCCGTGGCCTGAGCCCGGGTGCTCACCTGGTTCTGACTGAGGGTGTTGAAGGCACGGATCTCCAGGACGTTGAATGAACTCTCCACCTGGTGGGGCACGGGCCGGGTGGGGTGGTGGGTGGGGGTGCTCAGCTCCTGCTAAGGGCCTGCCGCTGGACTCGAAAGGAGCATGCCCCTCAGTCTCCACCCTGTACCCCAACTTACCTTGGCAGGAACTTTAAGGGGGAAAAGGTGGAGGCGCCAGGAGGTCAGGGCCTGCAGAGAAGAACGTCACCGGCGTAGGCATAGGGCAGCCTCTTGGGCCATGGTGCCTTTGCCTTCTCTTAGCTCCTCGGCTCTTCTCCAAGGCACCCCACCCCCTGCATTTTCCCTACTCTCCCATTAGCTCCTGTCCATCCACCCGGTCTGGCTCGGTCCTCTCCCTTAGGCTGTGGCTCCTCAGCACCCCCCCCCCCCCCCCCCCCCCCCCCCCCCCCCCCCCCCCCCCTCAGCCCGCTGTTTCTCTTGCCCACGCCCCCTACAGCTCAGCTGCCCTTGAGTATCTCCTCTCTTCCCCCAAGGCCAGCGACCTCACCAACACTCGGTCCTCAAACTTCTTGGGTTTTGTCTCCAGTTTCACCCGATGTTGCTGGAGCACAGTCCCCTGGCTCAGGCACCTCCGGATGCTGTCTGCAGATGGGGAGGACCTGCTCAGAACTCCTCTTTTCCCCCAGCCCACTCTCCAGAGACGAAGGGGGCAGAGGAGGGGCGAGAAACACACACAAACAGACACTGGAGAGGGAGGTATGGGGCAGAGGCTTTTCCTTTCGGGATGACTTGGTCCCTGGAGGCGGAGAGGAGAAAACCGGCTCCCAGGGTGCCTGAGTCAGGGGACAGTTGCTGAATGATACTGTCTGTGGGAGCGTGTATCTTACACTTCTGAAGGTGTGAAAGATTTTCCCTCCCATCCACTACAGCAACCACCAACATATACACAGTGAGTCAGTGTGTGTGTGTGTGTGTGTGTGTGTGTGGAGTTGGGGGGTGGGTGGGAGGTGGGGGTGGGAATATCTCCTGACTGTATCCTAGGTGGTCTGGGTGTGAGAATCTGCTTTTTACTACGGAGGCTGTATGCTTGTCTTCTGACGGCGCCAGGGAGCCTGAATGTGGCATTGGTGGGGACAGAGAAGTGTGAATGAGTACTGGCTTGCATATGAAAGGGGCACAGTGCCAGGCAGTTCCTGGGTGGAGGGTGGGGTAAGAGAAAGATTTAATGTTTCAATGAGCCCATACCCATCTTCTGACAGAATCATCCAGTTACCCCTGTGTGTGTGTGTGTGTGTGTGTACACACGCGCGCATATAGGTGGTGGAGGTGCAGTTTTTGTAAGATGTGTGTACACACATCTCATGATTGTGCTTCTAAGTGCATGTGTAGGTGTGAGAGGTCTCCAGAGCGCAATAGGGCTCTGAATATCCTTGAGCGTTCTGCTTTCTGCATGGGCTAGCCTGTGCTCCTGCTTTTGAGGGTCAGGGTTGTAGCAGTGATACGCGCGCGCAGGGGGGAGGGGTTCGGGGGGATTAGAGGCGATATGGCTGGGAATCACTGATCCAGAGAGGTCTGGAGGTGTGGGTGGTGGGTAAAGAGAAGGGGGCAGGCTGGGACGGGGGCTATGGGAGATGAGCCGCAGAAATCCTGCTCTTGGTTTTAGCCTCAGTCCAGGGCCTCTGCCCTGATTCCCTCCTTTGCCCCACTGGTCTGGGCGCTGCCAGGCTCCTAGGGGCCTCTCCAGGGCCAGTTCCGGGGCGGGGCCGGGAGGAGGGAGGGTGTGGAGATAAGCAGCAGTCAGGACCAGGGGCAGCTCCCAACGCCTGGCCCCGCCCGGCGAGGGTGGGGGAAAGCTGGGACTCTAGGGAGGGGAGACTGGATGCCTTGCAGAGGGGTGGGTCAAGAACGCCGAAGAGTCAGCCCCCAAGAGCGCCAGGGAACTGCACCTGTCACCGGAGAGCGGGACGGGCGGCTCCGGGACAGGAAGGTTCTGATAGGGTGAGGCGAGTGGGGCAGAGAAGGATGCTCCCACGGAGAGCCAAGCTGGGACTGAGATGCAGAGCAAGGGACTGCCTAGGAGCGAGGATGCGTGAGGGGGCGGGAGGCGCCGGGCTGGGGGGTGTACCGCAGGAAAGCACTGGGTCTGGATGCTCGCGGACCGACCGGGCGTCCGGAGATGAAGGCAACCTCGTACCTTGCAGCTCGCGGGTGAGCTCCACGCTGGCCTTGGCCATGGCGGCCGCCGCTGCTGCTGCTGCTGCTGCTGCTGCCGCCGCCGCTGCTGCAGAGGAGCCGCCGCCGCCGCCGCCGCCGCCTCCCGAGAGGCGCCGCACATGCTAGTCCCGGCTCCGGCAGGGCCCGGCGCTGAGCGCTGCAGTAGCGGCGGAGCCCGCTCCCGTCAGGGGCGGCTGCGCGAGCGCTCCTCCCCCCGGCTACTGAGCGCTGCCTCTCCCGCCCCTCCCGGAGAGTTGGCCAATGGAGCATGCGCGCTGAGCTTGCGAGCCGCGTGAGACCCCGCGCGCGCTCGCGACGACCCCTCCCGCGGGCTGCCGCGTGAGAAGCCCAGAGCCAGGGGCCGCGCTCTCTCGGGGGCGGGCGGGGGGGGTGCAGCGTTTGCACTGGCCCGTGCCACCCACGCCTCGGCCACCCGGGGCAGAAGCTTCAATTTCTTTGTTTGTGTATAGGCCTTGGTACCCCCTCCCCGGGTCATCCGTGTGTGGCCCCGCCCTCCCCCCCCCCTTCCTGCTCAGGAACCGTCCAGCTCGTCCTTGCTGACCCTGGAGGGAACTCGGAGTCAAGGGCGATGCTGCAAGCAGACCTGTCCGAATGCGAGGGAGGGAGTTGGTTCTTTTCTGCTCGCTCGTCGAATCTCCGGGATCCCCGTGGCGTCCTTGGCACCGTCCCTGGGGGTGTGAGGCTAAGAGTAGCACTTGGGAGTTCCCGAGCCGCCTCCCCCGCCCCCCCGCCCCCCCAGCTGGCAGCTCGGCAGACACCTCCACCCTTGAGCATCAAGCTCAGGCCTTGGAGACAGGGAGGAGGCTTGGGGAAAATCCAGAGATCCAGCACTGCCCAGACTTCCCAGATACTCTAAGCACCCCACATTGAGAAATGAGCACACACTGATGCAGAGCAACGCGATCATCTTCGTTTTATTGGTACCTTATTTGTCAATTGTTAATTTTCATTTCTGTTCCTTTCACTCCAGGCCCCTTCTGTCTCCCCTCAAATTCTCCAGAGACGGGGGAGGGGGCGGGTAAGGGGGACTTGGTGGTCTTCATCAAGGTAGCTACAGCCTTCTCAGGAAGTCCTTTCCACGCCCCCCACCCCGCCCCGCCCCAAGCCTTTTTACAAGGCCATAGCAACAGCAGGGATGCTCATCTGACCACACTTTGACCACAGAGAAAGCAGGGATTTATTACCGGGTGGAGCTGATTTTGTGGGGTGAACAAAATCAGCGGCAAGGAAGGGCCACAGAGACAAGGTGGACTGCACCCTTCCCACACACACCAGCTGGAGTTAACCTCTGCCCTGGGAGGCTGTCTCTCGGTCCTTAGAGGCCGTCCTCAGAGGCGAGAAGGGGTTCCTCCTCCAACCACTACCGTCTCGCCGTTGATGTAACTGGCATTTTCAGAGCACAAGAAAGAAACTATGCCCGCACAATCCTCTGGTTTGCCTAGCCTGGGAAACAGGAAACGAGGAGGGAGCGAACATAAATTGGTCTAGCCTCTCTCAACTGGCCCACAGGGTGTGAAATTTGCTTAAGAATGATCAGGTGGGTGCTGGTGGGATGTTTTAGTGGTTGAGACCATTGACTAGCTGCTCTTCCAAAGGACCCTGGTGTCCCAACACACAAGGCACAATGATTTGAAACTCCAGTTCCATGGGATGTGATGCCTACGTACTGGGCATCACATGCCTTTGATCCCAACACTCGGGAGGCAGAGGCAGGCAAATCTCTGTGAGTTCGAGGCCAGCCTGGTCTACAGAATGAGTTCCAGGACAGCCAGAGCTATACAGAGAAACCCATCTTGAAAAAACCAAACCAAACCAACCAACCAACCAGCCAAACAAACAAGCAAACAAATAAACAAAAAAACAACCCACCCATACATATTGAAAAAAAAGTTAAAAATTAGGTGATTTTTTTCAGAACCTGTATACAGCTTTTTCCCCCTATTAAATGAGGGTGGTTACGATCATGTAGTTATCATTTATATAAGCATAAATACAGATTCCTGTAAAACCATGTTATATTTAAATATAGAAACACTCTTTTTAGATACCAGAATGCAAAGTGGAACTGATAAAATGGTGAACAATTAATCTTGTGTTTCAAAAGAAATTGTTTCAACATATACATGACTCAAGTGTCAGAGAGTCTTTGAGGCAGGAAATAGCATGATCAAGTTATTTCATTTGTATGGGTTCAATGTACAGATCCTTCTCAGGATTTTTATCCTTTTAAGACCAGATTCATTTTATAAGAATGTACTAAATCCCATTGTTTGTATCTTGATTCTGTATGTTCTAGAGGTGACAGTGTGAGTGACTAGAGGCCTAGATGAATGTTTCTCCAACCTAGCTGCACATTGTAGTTACTTGGGAGGCCCAATAAAGCAAAGGGGGAATGATGTGCAAATTCCACCATGGCCCAATTACAGAAGAGTCCCTGGGAGTGGGCCCTGATCAACTGAGCTTGTCATTGCTTCCCTCGACATTCAGATGTGCAGCCAGGACTCAGCCGCTCTGGGTTAGATCATTCACTGGAGTCTCTAGAATGGCACTGCTCTGACGTGTCAACAAGTTGTTAACTAGGCCTAAAGCTCATGCCCAACTTCAGCATGACTTTGGGAGAACCCGAGGAAGGCTGGATGGAATGTTTGGACTAGTAAAGAGGTAGATACTGCTAGCCTTTGTCCTTGAGGAGTCAAGCTAGAGAAGTCAGAAGGCATTGAATCCAGAGCAATAGCAACCTCGCAGAAATGTCTGAGTAGTTACACGAGCCCACTGAGGAAGAGAGAGACCCCTCAGGCAGAGTCTGGGCTCTGTGGCCTTCACCCTCATTCTACTTGGCTTGTAGGACCCATCAGTCTGAGTGCTGGAAACGCCACTGCCTTCTGGGTTCGGGTCTCCACAGGTTCGAGGTAGAAGCAGACAGTGAACGAGAGCTCTACTCTGCTTTTTGCAATGAAAGCAGTGTCCTCGGACAGATCATAGGAGGGATGGGCTTATGAATCTGTGAAGTCTAGGAGAGGCATGCTGTGTCATCTGTGGGACTGAGAGCCGGGGTGAGGTTTCTGTCGTTAAGTCACACGCGTTCTCACCCGTGACAGCTTACCTGTTAATCTTCATGCTATCTTTTATGATGTCCTCTTTTGATTTGTCGTTCCATAACTGCAGGAAGAAGAGAAACCTTTTTATGTAAGAAGAGGAAAGCATGGGAAGAGAAGGGAGGGAGCTGTCTGCCCCCCCCCCACAGCTGGGAGGGGGGAGTCCAATTCTCATCTCGCGTTGATTTCTCACTCCCTGCCCTCCCCACTGCGGGCCTCTACTTCATCCTTGCCAGGTCTTATTCAGGAATCTTGCTTGGTCTCCTCACTTCTCATCCACTTTACGAGACGGGATACAATATGGGTAGGGCTCACATTCCTCACTCGGTAGAACCCAGTAGGAAAGGAGTATGTGAGGGTCTGGTCTGGGGAGGTAACTGGTAAAGAGAGAGGATACACAAAAGCCCAGGCCGCAGGAATGGGAGGGGTGGGGCTTCAGGACTCAGGCACTGGGCTTCCCTATCCTTCCAGGGTGTCTGGGGGTTCCGTGTTCCCCCTTCTCACCACACTGCTGAAACGAGTCTTGATGAGTCCAGGCGCCAAGCAGTTCACTCTAATGTTCTTCGAGGCCAGCTCTGCGGCGAAGTTCTTAGTAAGACCCAGCAAAGCTGTTTTACTGACATTGTAAGGGCCCAGAGCCTGGGGAAAGGAGAATGAGTTAGTTCATTACTTTGCAGGTCATCATTGGTTCTTATTGTACAATGAAGGCGGGAGCCCAAAAGGCATGTCCTGTAAGGGAGGGTCACAGTCAGAAGTCACCTTGTAGTCTCAGGTAGGTTAGGGTTCATGAAAGCAAGGCGTCTGTTTTGTGGGAGAGGACTGGTCGAATGATCTAAAATCCTTCTTTGGGCAGTTGGAGGGGTGGACGGTATAGGATGGAGGCGAGGGTAGAGGGGGTAGGTTCTTACAGGGAACGGAGCGAAACCTGCTATGGAACCCACGATCACCACCGAGCCGCCTCTGAAAGGGAAAGAGAGCTGAGCCTTTTTGGCCCATGTGGGGCCCCATCTCACCCAAGCTTCCGCTCAGTATCGGTTACCCTCGTTTCTCCATTTCTGGCACCACTGCTTTTATCAACATGGCCGTAGCCGTCACATTAATGCTCAGAACCTGAAGCCAAGAGAAAGGAAGAGAACATGAGAAGGTTGATGCAAGGGTACAGTGATGAGGAGTTACACAGGTCTCCTGAAAACGCCCGGAAACGCCAGTTGGAGTGGATAGAGATTGCGGGCACGGCTGACCTAACAAGGGGAAAAACTGGGGTTCAAGGTTGGGGAGGTGCCTCTCACAGCTAGCTGATGGCACATCAGGTCAGGTGAGCCCGAGGGAAGCCATCTCTCCTAGCCAGCCAGTCCACAAGCAGCTTGACCTCTCAGGGCTGCTTAGGGTTTGAGCTAGATTTTGTATTTCTTCCAAGTTTGGGGGTGGGGGAACCTGGAATTGGGTCACTGCCTGGACCTGCACTAGAGTGTCCTGTGCTTCTCAGGGAACCGTAGCCTGACCCGAGACACCAGGGGGCTTCTGTGGCCTCCTTGGCTTCTGCCCTTAAGGAGTGAGAGGACCTCCAGAATAGACTGTCCAGATGGATATTTATCAGAAAGCAGAGTAATGAGGGAACATTTGTTGGGAGCTGGGGTATACTCTACGATCAAAATTCCCATATCTCAAACTTAAAATTTAAATGTATGACCTTCTTACGTGTTCTAAGTGGGTTGTTCACTTTCTGTGTTCCTACGTTAACTTCTTAGTCTGATCCCCCCCCCCCCCAGAGGGTTTCTCTGTGTAGTTTTGGTTCCTGACCTGGATCTCGCTCTGTAGACCAGGCTGGCCTTGAACTCACAAGAGATTCACCTGGCTCTGCTTCCCAGTGCTGGGATTAAAGGCATGTGCCACCACCACCAGCCCAGTCTGAGAAATTTTAATCTTACTAAACATTTGAGATAGAAATATAGTGAGCATCCAGCATCCTTTACCTTGATTCTGGTTATTTATCTTTGGCCTGACTTAACCTCTTCACATATCTGTACAGTTTTATTTTCTTACTCTGTAGCCCAGGCTGGCCTTTAACTCATGGCATTCCTCCTGCCTCAGCCTCCCTAGTGCTAGGATTTCAGGTATGTGTTACCATGCTCAGCTTGATTTAATTTTTTTTTGTGGGGGCAGGTATGTGTGTACATGTGGGGGTCAGAAGTCAATTCAGGGTATTTTCCTCAGTTGCTACTCCAACTTATTATTGTTTTTTTTTTTTTTTTTTTTTTTTTTGGTTTGTCGAGACAGGGTTTCTCTGTGTAGCTTTGCGCCTTTCCTGGGACTCACTTGGTAGTCCAGGCTGGCCTCGAACTCACAGAGATCCACCTGGCTCTGCCTCCCGAGTGCTGGGATTAAAGGCGTGCGCCACCACCGCCCGGCTTATTATTGTTTTTGGAGACAGGGTCTGTCACTGAACCTAGAGCTCATGGATTCAGCTGGACTGACTGGTCAGTCAACTCTTACCATGGTCTTGTTTTCCCTGGTACTGGGATGACAGGTACACTAGAGGTCTAACGTCCAGGTTACCCAGCACCCTCTTCTGGCCTCTGTGAGCACTGCATGCATGTGGTGCACAAACACACACATACAGGCCAAATACATACACATAAAAATTTAAAAAATTAAGTTGGACAGTGGTGGCGCACACCTTTAATCCCAGCACTCAGGAGGCAGAGCCAGGTGGATCTCTGTGAGTTCAAGGCCAGCTTGGTCTACAGAGTAAGTTCCAGGACAGCCAGGGCTACACATAGAAACCCTGTCTCAAAACACAAAAAACAAAAACAACAACAAAATTAAAAATAAAAAAATTTAAAAAACTTACAAATAAAAAGGAGAAGAAAAATTACTGATCTACAAACTTGTTTTATTTGGCTTTTCCCAAAAGAGGCTTCTTTACTTTAAAAAATATCTTAACCAGAAACTGGCGCACTGAAGAACACTTTGGCACCTTGGCCTTTTTGTCTGGAATGCTAATAAACTATAATATTTTTGCTATCCTTAAACTTTCGTGTTGAGAAATCCACAGGGGATCATAAGAATTTAGCATATCCAAATCATGTGGGCATAGTGACCTTAGATTAGAGCTTTATCATTAAAGGGTGTTTGTAGATGGGCGAATTACATTATGAATATGATGTGACAAGACGCGTTCACCTGAAAGCCAACATCCTAGCATCTTTTAGGCACGTAGAATTTTCTTAGCAGTGTGGTTAGAAAGAGAAGAAACAGGTCATATCCAAAGGCTGTATGCTAGAACGCATCAACTTTTGTAATTTCGCCAAAATTGACATTTCAAGTCAACAGCAGTTATTAACATTCCCAAGTAAAGAAAAAGCATTCTTTTCCAACAGCTGAGAAGGGGACGGGTGGATGGGTAAGTTTAGGCATAGTATTGTTGGCCTCTTAGGTACCACGTTTCTGTTGAAAACAAACCGGAAGAAGGGCGTGGGTGAGCAGGCTAGGGGGAGAGGTGAGGAACGGAAGCAGAGGTAGCTAGCACAGAGCAAATGACGGTAGACAGAGCTAGGGACGAGCGGAGGTGAGAGAGGAGAGCAGGGCAGGGCGGACCAACCCCCACACTTGGTAAAGCCCCTGGTGAGCCCTTCACATCCACGCTCTGGAGGGAGGCGTTGTGCAGGCAGGCCAAGTCTGTTCCCTGCCGCTTTAATCTCTCACCTTGTCCCACACCTCCTCTGTGACATCCAGTAGGCTTCCAAAGAAAGGGTTGACAGCGGCATTGGAGACCAGGATATCAACTCCTTGGTGAAGCTTCACAGCCTAGAGAGGAAGAAGGTGTGAGTCAGGGCTACAGTTAAGGGAGGGAGGTGCATTCATCAACGCTGACGCGGAGTTTCATCTCAGGAGTAGCTGTCAGATGTCTTTCTCGAAGCCGGTTCTCTCCAAAGCCACCCTAAGCTCTGCTGACATTTGAAGCTATGATTTATTTCTGAGCTTTTCTCAATCTGCGCCTTTTCTAAGGGCGTCTCTGACCGTTGTTCTTTTCTTTACACCTCCTTTTAGTGTGCGCCTTCATTCTTATGCCTCCACTTCTCACCTCAAATCTATTGCCGGACCTCCTCTTGAGTACCTATTGACCACTTCCCTTGAGTACCTATTGATCACTTTCCTCGAGTACCTATTGACCACTTCTCTTGAGTACCTATTGACCACTTCCCTTGAGTATGTTACCATGACCTCAAAGCCAGCCTGTCCACATGCACCTGAAGGAAGGAAGATCCCGGAGGAGGAGGATCATTCTAGCCCAATTTCCTCATGGTGGAAGAGATGACGCCTAGGTCCAAGGAGGTTCATTTTCCAATACTGTAACTCAGTAACTATTCTGTGGGGACATCTAAGAGCAGGGTGGCCCGTTTCTTTGGTGTTTGGGAAAGGCAAAAGGATTTTTTTTTCCCCCTTCAGGGTATAAAGTGGTGGCTGAACTGAGGTCAGACTCTGACTCTAGCAGAGAGCTGATTCGTAGGAGGCCTCCAACAGCCCGTTGGGATCGTTCCGAAACCAGCTGTGCAGGAGAGGTGTGATGGGGAAGACTGTCTAGTCCGGCTTTGAAGCGGTTTCACACTCGGCTTTGATGCCATTTTCCTCTCTCTTCTTGGCCCAGTGGTACAGAAGAGGCCAGGCGAAAGCGAGAAAGCCAAGGAAGGAGACCCCTCACCTCCTTAGTAAGCTGTAAGTAGGCGGTGAAGGCCTGGGAGGACATGCCAGCAAGCTTTGTCAGTAGGTAGAAGCCACCTTAAAAGCAGGCTTTGTGTTTGCCCAGACCTGGCAATTTGGAAGCCTTGGGCAAATAGCATGTAATGGGCCCTCAATCAACTTTGTGCCTCCAGTTTGGCAGAGGAGGGGTGTTATTAACCATGCACACCATCTGCTACCTTCTCCTTTTAACTAATTATTCTCGCTAACTAGGTGCTAAGCTCAGTTGTTGCTACACGGCTAAAGGAATACCCAGGCTGTCGATGACACGTTCATTTAACAAAAATTTAAAGTGACAGACACCTTTAAAACCACCACCGACTGACACTTGCTCATGCATTCTAAATGTGGGTGTTGTAGCCCAAAGTCTCAGTCACCTGCCTTGGCTGTGTGCAAAGAGCCTGATGACATGTGGCCGGCAGGAACAGAACAGAAGGAGAGTGATGTATGTTATGCTCTGTGAATGTCCGGGAAGTGGGCAGGGTAATGGGCCGCAGCAGAGGGTGTTCTCCCTCTTCTGGCTTCTGCCACCCTTTCTTCCCGTCCAGGCCTGTCAGCACAGACAGGGGAGAAGGCTGTGTGTTGACTGAGCGCCACGGAACCATAAAAGTTCATGAGAAAGTGGATATGATAGTCTATGCTTACGATCCCAGCTCTGGGGAAGCTGAGGCAGAAGGATCACAGGTTTGAGGCCAGTCTGAGCTATAGAGCAAGACCCTGTCTCAAAAACCCCAAACCCCAATATAAAAAGCCACCCCCCCAAAAAATGCCGAATGAGAAAAGACCGCATTGATGTTTCTCGGAGTTTGCTCTACACTGTTTGATCACCACAATGTGTTTTGGACCTGTCTGTTTCGACATTATTTATTTAAAATGAAGGATTATCAAGTGAGGATGTCCCACATCTTGTCTCACCACACCACTGCTGAGCTGTGATGAAGGGTGGGAGGTTATGATCAATAACCACTGTTAGGGAGCAGCTGACCCTAAAAGAGAATATCTCAAACTGCTGACGGTTACCCCATCACTCTCCATCCTGACATCTGTTCTACAGACTCCCCAACAGTCTTCATTTTTTTTTATGTATGTACATGTGTGTATGCCTATGTGTGTGTATACCACATGTGTATGTGACTCGCCTCTCCTATTTCTCATTTCTTGATATGTGGTTAGAAAATCTTCATTCCACTGTCTCTTGAGTAATCCTTACTAGTCCCTTGGTCACTGCCCTAGACCTGGATGATAGCCAATGGCTACCTCACTGATGTTCTTGGTCTGGCATCTTCAGTACAAGGGTATCCTCACCATTGCCAGGTTATCCTTCTTTAAATCATGTTCATCTTGCTGCAAGCTTCACGTGGGTTCTATTTGCTACACAATCACTGACACTCTTTTGGGAGGCTGTGGAAGTCCCTGAGTCCCACCCATGCAGCCCACTCCCCACAGTTCTAGCCCTTGGCTGAGGACTGACAGAGCGCCCCTCTTCCCTTTGGTCCTTGGCTCTTTGTTCATTTATCAGGGTCACTGGAGCCCCATCCTCATCCTATCTGCCTATCACCACCCATTCCTTGAGGTCTAACTCAAGCCCAACTTCAGAGCCAGGGCTGCAGGATTTGCTAAGTGAACTTGCTGGTGGCCGGAGGATATTTTCTTTTTCTTTTTTTCGATTTTTTTTTGGACAGGTTTTCTCTGTATAACAGTTCTGGCTGTCCTGGAACTTGATTTGTAGACCAGTCTAGTTTTGAACTCACAGAGATCCACCTGCCTCTGCCTCCCAAGTGCTGGGATTAAAGGCATGCGCTACCACCACCCAGCTGAGGATATTTTCTTAATAAGGCTTTTCTTCTTTTCACATGTATTTGCACATTCATATGTGGGTGTACATGTGTGAGGGCCTGAGGTCGATGTCAGGAACCTCCCTTGGTTGCTATGCCACCTTATTCTTTGGAGTCAAAGTCTGTCAATCAAATCCAGAGCTTGCTCTGGGGATCCTATCTCTGTCTTCTGAGGCTGCAATTACGGGCGACCCCCAGACACATCTGGCATTTATGTGGGCCCCGGAGCCTGACCCTCAGTCCTTCTGCTTGCAGGGCAAGAGATTTAATGGCTAAACCATATCCCAAGCCTCCCCACCCCATAGGCTTTGACATGAAACTGTCAAAACGGCTCTGGGTTTGACCCCCAGCCCTGGTGTGTGTGTGTGTGTGTGTGTGTGTGTGTGTGTGTGTGTGTGTGTGTCTATGTTCATTTTAAATGGCTGTCACTAATTGGCCCCTGCTTCTCATGATTAAAGCTACCATCTCAGGCTCTTCTAGCAGTCTACGCCAGGCAATACAACTTTGTCGGACACACATTTGGCCCTTTACAAAGCACATTTAAGTATCTGTCAACAGTTCTTTAAAAATGGAATTATCTTGAGGCTGGAGAGATAGCTCAGTGGTTAAGAGCACTAGTTGATTTTACAGAGGACCCTGGTTTGGGAACCCAGAACTTGCATGGTGCCTCACAACTGTCTGTAACTCCATTTCCAAGGGACATGGTACTATCTTCTGGCCTCCATGGGCATAAAACACACACAGTGTAGAGACATACATGCAGGCAAAAAAAAAAAATCTCATAGACATAAAATAAAAATAAATAATGAAAAAAATGGAATTATCTTATTTTATCTGTTGACTTCAGTCAACTGTTGTTTAAAGGCCTCCTTTTTCCAAGAAGACTGCCCAAATTATTTCTGTCAACTGTTTGGTTGTGTGTTCACAGGCTGTGCTTTCTCTGTGCTGGTGGATCCTCCCTTGCACTTTGAGGAATAGTGCGCACCCCGAGTTTTGGGGGAAGCTTCTCTGCAGCATGGTTCACATTTTCCCACACAGTTGGAGGCTGGTGCCACGTGTCAAGCTGGCCTGGGTTAGACTAAAGTCTATTTGGGTACCTAGGGGCCAGCACTACACAAACGGGATGTGCCTAGTGTGTAGGCATGGGAAGAAGGGCAGGCCTGGGTTGAACCACAGATCTTTCCCTTCTGGCTGTGAGACCCTGGGAGGTGTCTCCAGCTGTGTGACCCAGCCAGCACAGCCTCTGTAAACATGGGGAGAACAGTCCTTGCCTGGGTATGGTGGCTCACATTGGTACTTCCGGCACTGGGGAAACAAGTTCATGGCTAGAGTGGGCTACAAAGTGAATTCCATACCACTCTAGGTCCCGTACAAGATCCTGCCTCAAAAAAACCAAAAATAAACCCCCAAACAACAACAACAACAAAAACCTCCACCACCACTACCTCCTCCACCACCACCACCACCACCACCACCACCCACCACCACCACCACCACCAGGCTACATAAGGCTCTTCACAAAAGAATTGGCTCATAGTAGGTGAATGAACACGGTGAACTGCTTCTTACAAGTGCCCACAAGCTCTGTGAGCCAAAGAACAGGGGAGCATTTATTAGCTCATCCTAGAGAATCAGACCAGCCATTTTTTTTGGGGGGGGGATGTCTAAGGGATCACCCAAGGCTGAGGCACCAGAGTGGCTTTTGATTCTCTTGCTGGGAGAATCTGGTTGTTCTTAGATTTTTAGGATGCAGATGTAACCGGAAAAGGCACACAGTAAAAATGTATTGGCGAGAGGCTGGGGAGATGGCTCAGCGGTTAAGAGGATGTACTGTTCTCACAACTGACCTGAGTACAGTTCCCAGCCTCCACACCAGGCGGCTCATCACCCCCAGCTCTAGAGGAGTCAAAACTCTCATCTGGGCTCCCCAGGCACCTGCGCCCACCAGCCCTCCCCCCACTATACTCGTAATTAAAAATGAATCTTTAAAAACATTGGTGGGCTGGCTTGGGTGTGGGCACTGGGATGCTGGCAGGAGTCAGCGCTGCCTTCAGAGTCAGGGATGAAGGTACCAGCTGCCCCCCTTCTGCCACCTCCTGGCCCAGTGCCCACATCCTTCCTGCTCACCGTGGCTACCAGCCTTTCTCGATCCTCTGGCTTCCCCACGTGGCACACGATGCCAGTCACACTCAGCCCCTCTCCCCGAAGCGTGGCCACGGCACGGTCCACATTCTCCTGTTTGCGGCTGCTGATGACCACGTGGGCCCCATCCTCAGCCAGACGTCGGGCGATGGCGAAGCCAATCCTACAAGTGCAAGAAGAGATACGCCGTCGAGGCCTCGACAGCCGGGAAGAGGGTGACAGCAGACATGTGTAGCTAGACGTTTCTCCGGTCCTGCCTGGGCCCTGCAGTCCTGTGGCCTGCTTATAAAATAATCACTCAGAAGCTTATATTAATTAAAACCGCTCGGCCATTAGCTCAGGCCTACCACTGACTAGCTCTTACATTTAAACTCAGCCCATTTCCATTAATCTATATGTTGCCACGTGTTCCGTGCCTTTACCTGTGTGCCGTTACATGCTGCTCCCTGGATGGTAGACTAGCCTCTCCTGACTCAGCCTTCCTCTCCCCAGAATTCTCCTTGTCTGTTTATCCCACCTGTACTTCCTGCCTGGCTACAGGCCAATCAGCGTTTTATTAAACCAGTGTACAAAAGCATTATTCCACAGCAGACATGGGCTCTGGATTCAGACTGCTGGGTGGGTTCTCGCTCTCCCTGGGTCTGAGCTCCACATACCTCTAATAGGTAGAGTATACTTAAGTGTAGACAGAAGGAAAGGCTCAGATGATTTTACTATGACCTTATCTTTTGTCCCATGACCCAACATGACCTACCACAGGCCTCATGACTGGTTATTGTACCTATATCCAGTTGGGAGAGAGGGTGAGGAATGAGATGAGAATTCAGTAGCTGCCCTGGCTGTGGCTTGCGAGTCTTGCTTGAAGGAGCCCATATTCCTACACATCTCTCCTACCAGCCTACAACCTCAAAATACCATCCTTTGTTAGATTTGGGGGCCTTCATGGGAGAGCGTGGCCCAAAATCTAAATATCAATGACATATTTTACAATTGCCAGATGTTGTTAGCTTTTCATATATATCTGTATTCTGGGTTTTCGAGGAACTTTTATCTACCGGAAGTCCTTTGGGGATGGAAAAACAGGATAGATAAGAGTGGTGGGTGAGACAGGCTGGGCAGGGTGGTCAAAATATACTGACCTAAGCCGACATAAGATCTTGTGTCTCTTGTAAGTAGGGGTGTGGCTACTGCGGAGAGCTGTCAGAAGGGGTGGCAAGAGCTTTGAAACCTTGACTAGTTGTTTTGGTCTTCCCATACTCTAGGCGGAGCTGTTGATTGGGGCAGCCTAGAAGTATGGGGACCTGGGTCCACTGGGCGTGGGGTTCGAAGCGATTTCAGAACCACCCTGGGTTTCCCTTACGTCCCCCCCAGGCAGGCCTCTGGCCGTATTTGAGGCCAGTGGACAAGAGTCCAGGAGTTAAAGAAACCTTGTTTCCGGATGGAGACTCTGGCTCCCCTACTCACCCGTCGGTGGAGGCAGTGACCAGGGCCACCTTATTCGCGAGTGGGTTTTGGCGAGTCACCCCGGAGCTGGCCATTCTCACCCACCTCCACGCTCGAGTCCAGCCACCGAGCAGCAGTCCCGCTCTGTGCATAGTGTGGGGCTGGGTTGAACTCTGCGGGGGGGCGGGGGAGGCGGGACGGATTAAAGGGCGGGAGGGCGGTCTGGCGGGTCCTGCCTCCCCCGATTGCCAGCCCCGACTGCCAGGACTTGTTTCGCAAGGGCCGGGGGCAAAGGGAGCTGCTGAAGCTGTGAGCGCTCCCTGATGGCGTCCGCACCCGGTCGATCGGTACCCTCTGCCCTACTTGGAACTCCCGAGAAAGTTCTCAGTCCAAGTTTCCTATGGGCCAGCCCACAGCTCCTCCCAGCGGGAACCCTCAGGCGTTTCTGGGCCCCAGCTGCTCCTCACACATCTGCCGGCACACCATTTTTTGGGCAGGGGGCGGTGGGCGAGTTTTGGTAGAGGAGGCTTTGATATGTAATATGTATATAATATATATTGTTATATATCTGCGGAGATAACTCATTTGGTAAAGTGTTCCCTGAACAAGCACTCGGGCTTGAGTTTGGATCCTCAGTATCAAGATAAATCTGTGAGCTCCAGGCCCAGTGCAGGACCCTGTTTCGAGAAAAAGATAAGATGGAGAGTGATAGAAAGCCTTCTATGTAGTGGACCTCTGGTTTCTACATGCACATATATGCAAACTTCTAGTCCCCCACCCCTATAAGCACACTGTAATGAGCATAGTGAAAAAAAATAAGCCTTTGCACTTGTAAAAATAGCTTAGTTAGGAACTCCATCCACTTCACCCAAGGCTGCACCTGATAACCAGAACCCACTGACATCACCCACTCAAGATAACCAGAAAGTCCTGGGATCCTTACGCCCACTGGGCAGTATATAAGTAGAGACCAAGAGCAATCCCCTGCTCTGCATATTTGGAGAGATGCCACCTTGATCTGCCCTGAGGCTGGAGAGTCTCTCCCAGGATCCTGACTCTTGAATCGGAGACTTCTGTTAGAAACTAGACCTGACATTCAGCTAGATAAGTCTCACGGGTGAGCAGCCTTGGGGAGATAAACTTAGGACTTTATTTTAATAAAATACAACTTTTGTAATACCAACTATGTGTATCTACCTTCTTGCTATCGACATACACATACATCTCACATATATACAGACACATGCATCACGCCCACGAAGGTGAATGAACGTTTTGAGACTGCCCGTGGAGGCGAGGCTTGTGCTTCTCACAGGGTCCATACAGTGAGGGAAGAGGAAGTTAGACCAATGTGATGGGTTATAAGCTGGCCTAGGTCTGACACCACTTTTCCCTCCGGCTCCAAGTCTACTGCTATATTTCTCAAACTGTGGGTCGAAATCCTTGGTGTCACCTAAGACCGTCAGAAACATCAGATGTTTACATTACGATTCCTACCAGTAGCAAAATTACAGTTATGAAGTAGCAATTAAAATAATTCTATGGTTGGGGGTCACCACAACATGAGGAACTGTATTGAAGGGTCACGGCGTTAGGCAGGTTGAGGACCACTGTGTATTCCATCTTCAGACAGACAGAGAAGTTCACTGTGATACCCAGGGTGAAAGGGTGATGGTCCTGGTTCCATCCTAGAGGACCTTCCATTTTTTAGGTAGTCGCAGCAAAGATGCTCAAGAGTGCCCTAACCAGTGGTGGAAATCAGAGACCTGGAGGTGCTCAGGTTCTCCATGACCACTAATCCTCAGGTTTTCCCTTCCAGTCTAGCTCAATAAATATTTGCTAAACTTGAAAATGCTTTATTAACTGTAAACTACTAAATACACAGCAATTATTGTCACCATACAATAATTATTATATATGGCTGCCACAGGCCAGATGCTTCATCTGTGAACCGAGAATGGAGAGTAGACGATAAATAAAATTCTCACCAGCTATAAATTCGAAGTCCAAGACTTCAGCCTCCATTGCTGCCGAGAGGGCAGCAAGGTCTCTCTCCTGGGCTCCTGGAAGAATTGGTGAATTTGGATGGCTTACAGTGCACCACAAAGAGGCCTCAACAGAACCAAGTGCAAATGATTAAACTGGTTCCACCCCCGGGGCTCCAAATTCCAGGCTGAAAAGCAGCGTTAACCCTTGGCAATGTTTTCAGACTCAGGCAAAATAAGAAATGTAAAGACAATAAAGTGAGTTTTGTAATGCTAACTTAACTAGCAGTAGTTAATTCTGGAACTTGTGCTTGCCTCTTTTTTGAAGTTAGTCTTTTCTTTTAAAAAAGACAATAAAAGCACATGGGCTTATTATTTATTTGTTTATTTTTGAGGCATGATTTCTCTGGGTAGTTCTGGCTGGCCTGAACTCTTTCTGTAGACCATATTGGCTTCCAACTCAGAGATCCACCTGTGTCTGCCTCCCAGGTGCTGGGATGAAAGGCCTGCACTACCCCGCCCAGCTCAGATGGGTGGTTTTAGAAAAGTGTTGTTAGTTGGTGAAATCACCAGCGCATCAACCTTATGCAGTGTACACTGTTAGCAAGATACAGTTAGACAGAAATACAGTCCTGGGGTTCGACGTTTAACAGAATTTGTATTTCCTAAAGAATCATTTCATAGCCAGGTATGGTGGTACACTGCACCTTTAATCTCAGCACTTGGGAGGCTGAGGCAGGCAGATCTCTGTGAGTTCAAGGCCAGCCTGGGCTACAGAGTGAGTTCCAGGACAGCCAGGGCTACACAGAGAAGCCCTGTCTCAAAAAACAAAATAAACACAAACAAAAAAATGAATCATTTCATAGACATACAAATTATGTGTATATATATATATATATATATATATATATATATATGAAGACAAAGCAGAAAGCAGGTGTGCTGGGGGCTGTATATGGATAGCAAGGGATGAAGGGATGTAAGCTATATGGGCGGAGGGGGGCAGATCTCCACGGAGAAGTTACAGTTGTGTTACTCAGTGCATCCTAGCAGATAAGACAGCTTGCCTCATGTCGGAGGAGAAGGACTGGCAGGTGCCCCTCAGTCTGAGCCTCATGAATTAGTGATAAGGGGCTCTCTCACTGTTTGGAGCTAATGCACCATGGGGAACTTTCCCAGGCTGTCACCTGTATGTGGAGCTGGGACCCTAGGGTGGAAGGTGACTGTAGTAGGAGCTCTCAAAGCCTGGCTTGGTGGGACAGGCCTGCAGGGCTTTTCTGACAGAGGATGGGGATGGATGGTAATGGTGAAAAAGAGAGTCAGGTCCTCGTAGGGGAGTGTTCCTTTCATTAGGGCAGGGCTGAAATTTGGCCTTTAGCACCATTTCTTTTGGAAGAGGACAGGGGATGTTGGGGAGGGCATCTGTGATGAGAAAAAGGCGGAAGGAAGGCAAGAAGTGTGGGGTCTCAAGCTTCCGTTCTTAAGGAGGTTGTTGAAGGCATCTTTTCAGGGATACACACTTGTGTGAGAGTACCTCTTGGAAGGATGGGGTAGGACATCTTTTTGGGGAATACACACTTGTGTGGGAGTACCTCTCAGAAGAGGGAAGTAGGTGCAAAGTTGTTGTAAGAGGTGGTACCCTCTGCCTCTCCTGAGGAAATACCTGAGATCGAGAGCGAGGCTTCCGTCTTCTTCGTGGCACGACAGGAGCTCAGAAGAGACTTCATCTGGCGTGAGCGTTTTGTGTGGATTTTTGCAGTAGGCATCCTAGGTTGGTCATTGTCTCAGGCCTGATTGAGACCAATCAGGACTGGGCAATGTGCAAGGGCTGATGGGGGTCGGGACAGCTACCAAGTGGGGACTATGGGAAGAGGGTTCCCGGCCTTATGTATGGAGGCCTCGCTAGGTGCTATCAAGTGTCAGGTGCTTGAAATATTCATGAACTCGTTGTCGGTTTCTAATGGAGCGCCATGCGCCTTGGCGTTTTCATATGTGAAATCAGGTGAAGTCATGACGGCCTGCCGCTGTCAGTGCTGAAGACAGATTTTAGTGTCCTAGCATGGATGGGATTTTCACACAAGTTAACTTCCATAGACAGTGATTTCCTCTGACACAGAATTTTACTTTTAACAGTACTGCATCTCTGGGTTTTGTTTGTTTTCTTGTGGTGCTGAGGAATCAAACCAGGGTTTTGTATGGGCTAGGTAAGCACTCTACACATGAGCAGCCCCTGTTTTTTGTTTTAGTCATTAAAATATCTGTTCTTTAAATTACAACTATGATATATGTCATGGTTTTAACAATGAATGGAAAGGTGTGAAAAGTAGAAGTTAGGGGCTGGAGAGACGGCTCAGAGGTTAAGAACACTGACTGCTCTTCCAGAAGACCTGGGTTCCATCCCAGCACCCACACCTGCCTGTAACTCCAGTCTCAGGGAATCAGATGTCATCTGATGTCCTTTTCTGGCCTCTGTGGTACATAGATATGCATTGCAGGCAAAACACCCACATACATTAAAATCATTCTTACAAGAGGATGGCATTATACATACCATCCTTCAGATTGTTCAAGGTTTTTTTTTTCTACCTCTTCTTTCAACTTCTTAAAACATTTTCTTGGGGGAATGTTTTGATAGAGCTATGTTCCTTACTTTTAAAAATAGCTGCACAGGACCCTGCCGTGTGGATTGTCTGCACAGAGTAATATTTAGTCAGTCTCCTACGGATGAACATGTTAGTGGTTTCCAGTGCTTTGCTATTTCAAACAATATTACAACTGAACCGCCTCAGATTTTATATATATATATATATATATATATATATATATATATATATATATATATATATATATATATATATATTATGTTATGCTTTGTGCACATATATTTGAAGTGTGGATCAAATTGGTGAAAGTCAAATATCCTTTGAAAAGATTTAATCAGTTTTGATGGATTTTTTCCCCTTTTCCTGCCTCCTTTTCTTTCCTTTTTGAGACATAGGGCTTCCTATGTAGGCCTAGCTTGTCTGGTACTTAGTCTGTAGACCAGCATGGCCTTGAACTCACAGAGATCATCTTGAGTGTTGGGATTGAAGGCTAGTTTTCACTTAAAGGTGTTTTTACCTACCACTCATCTCAGTGATGCACAGAACATATAATGGGTTGAACCACTGATGGCTTAAGTTCTGTGGTAAATATCGACATGCCACAGGAGTCCACGGGGATTGTAGGTCCCATGAAATTAAAAAGCTAGGAATCTGGGTGTTAATACCAGATATTTTATTTTTAAAATATTGGTAGCTAATTAGCTTTAAACAATCACCACCACCACCACCACCACCACCCACTACCACTACCACCACCACCACCACCACCACCACCACCACCACCACCACCACCACCACCAAATGGCTAGGCGAGGTGGGCCACACCTGTCCTTCTGGTTCATAGGAGGTAGAGACAGGAGGATCACCAGGAATCTGAGGTTATTTGGGGCTACACAGTGAGGTCCTGTTTCAAAAGACCAAAAATAAATAAAAAGTGAATAGAAATAAACAATCCTAAACTATAAATGAACAAATATACCTTCACTAGCAAGATAATGTGCCCCCCCCCAAACAAAAACCCCCAAACAAGACAGTGACTGGATCTATAATTGCTAGAGACAGATATATTTTTGCCTACTTAAGGGTCTGGGCTATTAGCTTTGTAAAATATTGTCCTATGTACCATTTAAAACTTTTTTGTAAAACTCATTAAATTTCTCTTTTCTAAATTTTTTTTCTCTCATGTCCTATATTTAGGCAGTTGTTTGGGAATACTGTTTGGCAACCATCTATCCAGTCTCTTTGTGATCTGTTTCAGGGATTCCCACAGCCCAGTGGAGAAGACTCTCATGGATCAGGCATGCTTTCACGGGCTCTGGGCTGCTTTCTTTACCCGCATTTGGGGGTGGGGGCTATCCAGCAGGTGGTGCCTCTGTGCGCTTTGCTTCTGGCCACGCCTGGAAACTCTAGGATTTTGGTCTTTGTGTGATTTCCATATGGGAGCTGAGGTGCAGGCTCTAGCCGCTGGCAGCCACACAGTCATCTTCTCCTTTGTTTCTCAGGCTGCCATTGTGCCACGAACGCCATTGAAGACCTGGAGGGGGAAGGAGTCAGGGCACAGAAGTACAACATAGCCATCCTCTCCACAAGTAGGGTGCTGGATATAAACTCTCATTGGGTCCTTTATGGACACAACTAGATTTCTAGCCTTGTTTTCAGAATGGTGCTCTCACCTGTCCTCCTACACAGATGGTCCCTGTGGCAGACATGGAGAGGCAAGGCAGCATTTGATGATGAAGATGTGGTGTTCAGTTCTTCTTCTTGGGCAGGACTCAGAGCCCAGCTGTGGGATCCTGTGGAGTTGTGAGCATTCAGCCAGCTGTTAACTCCTTCGGGTCCACTGCAGCCTTTGAATGGAGGTGACAGTCTTCTCAGGGAATCTACTGAGCAAGACAGTGTTATAGGGACATTGAATGTCTGCCTAACACTGGCTCCTTTAAGGACCACTTTTATTTTGGAGGACCTGGGTGGACTGGTGCTCACCACACATACACAGCACACCCACACTTCCCCCTTCCCGTCCTTCCTTCCCCTCTCATAGAGGTTACCTCAAGTGAACCCTTCAGATTCCTGCCTACGGCCTACCACAGATCTCCTTTGCTGAGGATATATGTGTTTTCTTTCTTTGTAACTCCCCCTCCCTATTTTATGCATCCTAGCCTGCCCTTGAACTTGCTGTATAGCTGAGGCTAACGTTGATCTTGGATCCTCCTGCCTCCGACACCCGGGTGATAGGATTATGGACCTACACCGCCATACTTGGTCTACATAGCACTGGGAATTGAACCCAGGGCTTTGTGCATACTAGGTAAACTGCCAGCTGAGCTACATCCCCACCCTCTTAAGTCTTACGATGCAGACTGCACTCCTAATAGTCCCAGGGCCCCATCCCAGAGGTCTGTCTTTGCCCCCGGAGTAAAGACCTTAGAGCACTCCGCAGCAAGAATCCTATTACTGCGGTTCCTGCCAGTTTGAATTATTCAAGGAGGATCTACACAGAGAATTCCGGGGTGGGCTTTGGCAGTCTGAGGCTGACTGGTTTCATGGGTGTTTTCATGGAGATTCCTCTGATGCTAGGCGTTAAAAATGTACCCTCTTCTTGAAGCATTCTGTTTTACTGGAAAGAATTTCTGGGCTAAATAACACAGACACAGACACAGACACAGACACAGACACAGACACAGACACAGACACACACACACACACACACACACACACACACACACACACACACCATGCATACCCCACTTGCACACCCCTCAAGAATTAGGGGCAATTCTCAGGGACACTGGCATCTAAATGCACATTAAAGGGAGAACCATTGCTCTAGAGGTGGCCAGTCTGGCCTCTCTGGAGATAACATTCGGCATTATCATGCAAAGTAGTTTCAGCTCCTTCCCTTGCATTGGGAACAGACTAAGAAGCCTAGGGTACAAATTAATCAGCTGGTCACAAGCCTTGCTAGAGGACAAAGCTGTCTACTTCCGTGCTTTCTCTCTGTTGGGAAGATCAAATTTCTCCAGCAGGACCGAGTACCCTTTAATCTCTGCAAGAGCTCCCTGAGGAGTGAAGGGGACGATGCACTTGTCCCCCAATAATATGCTGTGCTTACTCATTTCAGTTCGACTACACAGACATGCTATTTCAATACTTTCAACAAAACCAAAGGCACCGTATATTTTCTGCCCTTTGAGCTAAAAAAAGAGGGAGAGATTTATCTGGCCTGGTGGCACAGGCCAGTTACCACAGTGGCTTGGCTAAGGCAGGAGAGTTCAGATTCCCAGAAACCAGGTGTTTTGTTTTTTAATTTTTTTAAGTCAGGGTCTCCAGCTTGTACATATAAGGCCAGTACTGGGGAGGTAAACGCAGGAGGATCCCAGTGGGTTGGGGACCAGCTAGTCTTCCGAATCAGCGAGCTCCATGTTTTGTGAGAGATCTTGTCTCAAAACTTGAGTGGCCTGTGAGAGAGGAAGACACAGATGCCAACCTTTGTCTTTCCTCCATGAGTTAACATCCCACCCTATGCATAACACACACACACACACACACACACACACACACACACACACACACACACACACACACCTCCAATATGTCAGGATCTCCCCTAGGGTGCTGATGAATGGCAAGCCTTCAGCAGGTCAGAGACACTGAAGAGGAGATGCAGAACAGGCGAACTACTGGACAGACGAACAGACACACGAGGGCTTTTCTGAGGGACGAAAGCTTAGTTTTTATTATTCTTTCTGTTGCTTGTTCTACTCTATTTACTCTGATGTTCCCTCTGTCTATCTTGATGTCTTCCTTCCAACTCTCCTTCTACGTCTTTCCTGGTGTTTTTCTTCTCACTTCTTTATTTTTTTTTCCTTACAGCTTATATACCCTAGGAGAGTCTTCCAAGTAATATAAAACTTACAATGTGGTCACTTTCTACTTTTCAAGTGAATGATCACAATGAATACATGTTTAAAGATTTCCTACCTAACTGAATTATATCTATGTAATTTACCTAGAAAACTTAATATGACTATAAGTTTTACTATCATAGAAGACTAATTATTAATCTATATTTCTTAATTATCCATTACAATTTAAATGAGTTACATAAACACAATACCTTAAACAAGAGTAGAAATATACATACAGTATAACAAAAGTAACTTTAAATTTGTATCAATAAATTAAAACCTATATCAATGTAAAACATTTTAAGCAAGTTGCTCTTTAAAAGTAGGTTCAACAATCCACCCTTTTATCCTATCATATCTATATTCTATATTTCCATATCATATACCACTTTCTTCTTTTAGAAAGATATTGACTATGACCAACAACAATTTGTAACCAACAACCTAAACAAAGACAAACATCCATACTCCATTTTTTTGGAATGTGGGTGTAGTTTTCTAGGCTACTTTCTGCTGTTAGAGGGTGCTGTATTCTCATGGGGACACAAAGAAAATTTTAGAATTATGGTCAAGTCCTGACCATACCTACCTGGAGTAGTCTGTGAGGCTGTATTCTCTGAGCCAGTTGCCTTGAAGTTGATTTTGGATGTTGGATCATCTGAGAGCTTTCAGGAGGTCTTGGCTGGTCAAACCATATTAGCCTGGAAGCAATTCACAGGTTCTCATCTCCTGTCAAAACAAAAGCAGAACCTCTTTTCCAAAGCAACATATCCTTAGACATAGATTTTGAAATCAAGATAGCTTTAAAATATACATATTGATTTAATTCAGTAGCTTTTACAATCAAATGTCTTTCTGCAGTTAAAAATCCCAAAGACAACATAATCCAGATTCTCTGTGTAATATCCATCTTTACACGACTTATTTTTTTATATTATCTTTACTGTCTATTTAAAGACTTTATTTTTAAAAACTACTTATTTATATAACTGTCTATATTCCTTTTCCTCTCTCTTCCAAGTCTATGTACATTTTTATGCATACCGTAAACCATTTAGGGGTTTATTTAATCCGAGTCTGACTTATTGTGAATCTATTGCTTTAAACTGTAGAATGACTAGGACAGAAATGGCAGCTTTGGCTGCTGGCTCTGCCCACCTCAGCTTCCCAACATGGTGGGACTATGTTTACTGCCAGCTCTGGGAGCCATGCTCTCTGCTGACACTGGGAAGCAGTGGATCTGTGCTTCCATCCAGCAGCGTGTAGCCCAGAAACCTTTTTTCTTGTCTGTACTAGCAAAGGCTAAATCCACCATGCAGAGTAACTTGTGACTTAGAGACACCTTTGTGTACCATGGTGGGAATCTGCCATGCTGCAGGTCAAACCTGCATGCCACGAACCCTTCATAGAGTTGCTTAAGCCCGCTGGCCGCAGCTGGCCTCAGAGAGACAACTAGGAAGCTGTTTTTAGCTCCGTTTTAGAATCTCTCTCTCTTTTTTTTTTTAAGCTTTCTCAGGTTTTAGGTGGAAACTCTTGCCCCATGTTGGACACCATTTGTAGCTGAAAGTTTTCCTGTGTCCCACCTGGCCCATGGTCAGGACAAATCTCTCTCACCCACTGGTCTCGCAGTGGCTTCGACCCAAATAAACACACACACAGGCTTATATTATTTTTAAACTATGGCCATGACAGGCTTCTTGCTAGTTAGTTCTTATATCTTAAATTAACCCATTTCTATAAATCTATACTTTGCCACGTGGCTTGTGGCTTACTGGTACTTTTACATCTTGCTTCTTATGGCAGCGCCTGGCAGCATCTCCTCCATTCTGCCTTTCTCCTTCTTCCTCTCTAGTTAGAATGCCCCACCTAACCCTATTCTGCCTCACCATTGACCAAACAGCTTTATTTATCAACCAATCAGAGCAACACATGTTTACAACATACACAACAATATCACCCATCATTTCCCCTTTTTTTCTATTTAAAAGGAAGGTTTTAACTTCAACATAGTAAAATTACATATAACAAAACAATTATCAAGGAAGAATTATAGTTATAATATCTAGTCTACTTGTATTTGGCAAAAATTAAAGAAGATATCCTATCTTATACTATAATATTTGTGAGTCTAAGGTTTCATATCTAATTTATCTTTTATTATAACCAAGGAAAATTATAACTGTCTAGTCTTCAACTACATCAAAGACGTACTTCATCTTCATTCCTTTTTTCGAGATCTGAGCTATGACTTCTTGGTATCCTGTTGGAAGTCCATTTCAGTTGTTTTCAGAGATTCTCTAGTCCCGGTGATGTCCCAATAGTATCCTGCGAACTTAACTAGAAAATATTGTACTTAGCTCATGTAAACAGCCAGAGCTATGACTTCTCAGTGTCCTGTTGGAAGTCCACTTCAGTTGTTTGCAGAGATTCTCCAGTCCCCGTGATGTCCCAATAGTACCCTGTGAACTTAACTAGAAAATACTGTACTTAGCTCACGTAAACAGTTGGAGCTATGACTTCTCAGTGTCCTGTTGGAAGTCCACTTCAGTTGTTTGCAGAGATTCTCCAGTCCCCGTGATGTCCCAATAGTATCCTGTGAACTTAACTAGAAAATATTGTACTTAGCTCATGTAAACAGTTGGAGATTGAGGGCAAAATTGAATGTTATTGACGTTTTCCTGCCAATTGTCACCTGTTCCTATGCCTAGGAAACATTCCTGAAGAGCAATTCATAGCACCCAGTTTCACTGAACATTTAAAATTTTTCAGTTTGTGTAAAAACATTTACTTTTCTTCATGTAAAACAAAATTTTACATACTATTTTTATGTTCTTTCTCATGCTTTGCCCCACATTTCTTTACTAAGGTTTTTCATATTCTTATAGTATTTTTATTTATTTTCATAAACTGTTTCTATCATTTGCCTCCCCTTATCTGGCTGTTTTCTTTCTTTTGAGACAGGGTCTTGTTACGTTGCTCAGGCTGGCCTCAAACTTTCTACCTCAGCATCCCGAGCAGTGGGAACAAAAGGTGTGCACTATTATGCCTGGTTCATTTACGGATTACTTATTTTTATAAATTCTTGTTAAAGGTGGTTAGCCAAGTAGTTATCACATGTGACAATATTTTTATTAGTTGTTTTGTTATTCTTAGTTGTTTATTAATTGCCATTTTAATTCCATGTGAAAAAAAATTTAAGAAAGTTACTTTTTTTTTAATGCCTTCTGAGTTTGTGGCATGCTCAGAAAGACTTTTTGCTCCAAGAATTTTGGGGTCGTGCCAGGCATGGTGGTATACACTTGTAATGACAGCACACCAATAGTAGGTAGAAACAGGAGGGAAGAGAACTGAAAGCCAGCCTGAGTTATAGAACAGGACTGTCACACACACACACACACACACACACACACACACACACACACACACACACACACACCACATACGCCTTCCTCCACTCCTCCCAACTTTGAATCATACCATGTTTGTTCTCATGTGGAATATAGATCCAGGCTCCCTCAACTGGTTAGTCAATTTTCTGGGCACTGTCTGAGCACCTCACCCCTGATCTCACATCTGTATTTGAGCTATTTCATTCAGCCGCCTTGTCTGTATGCTTCCAAGTCCACGTTTCAGTAGAACTTGCAGAGAAGAAAAAAGAGAGTGATAAAATTACCGTAAAGTAAAATATAAGGGCATGGCAATGTGGAGATAGGACAGCAATTTTAGTTGGGGTAGTCCGGAGAAAGTTCATGAAAAGGGCGATTGCGGCGAAGCCTGAACAGCCTTAGAGTGAGGCGGTCAAGGGCAAAGGCAGAGAGGCCATAGGCTTCTGAGAGGGACCCCACATTCCAGCCTTTGGGAGTGTTCGAGTGTTGTGACCACAGTTAAGAGGACGTGTGAGGGCTAGTTTCTGTCAACTGGACACAAAGTACAGTCACCTGAAAAGAGGAAACCTCAAATGATTAATGGTTGTGTGTGTGTGTGTGTGTGGGGGGGGTGCCCAGCCCACTATGGTGCCACACTGCAGGTGCTCAAGCTGTGGGGAGCAAGTCAGTAAGCAGCTTTACCCCACAGCGTCTTCCTCCGTCCCTGTAGTTTCTGCCCTGACTTCCCTCAGTGACCGTGACTGAGATGTGTAAACCAAACAAACCTTTTTCTTCCCAGAGTTCTTTTGTTCATGGTGTCTATCACAGCAGTAGAAAGTAAACTAATACAGGAAGCATACATACATTTTTGTACTACTATTTCAAATTTGTTTGTTTGTTTGTTTTTGAGACAGGTTCTCATGTAGCCCAGGTTGGCCTTGGATTCTCTATGTAGCAAGGATGATCTCGAACTACTTACCCTCCTGCCTTCACCCTCTGAGTGCTGGAATAGACCAGTGTGCCACAGGCTGCTTTATACAGCCTTGGGGAGAGAATCCAGGGCCTTGTGACACCAGGCAAGCACTCTACCAACTGAGTTACATTCTTTTTCTTTTTTTCTTTTTTTTCTTTTTGGTTTTTCAAGACAGGGTTTCTCTGTGTAGTTTTGGTGCCTGTTCTGGATCTTGCTCTGTAGACCAGGCTGGCCTCGAACTCATAGAGATCCGCCTGCCTCTGCCTCCTGAGTGCTGGGATTAAAGGCAGGCGCCACCACTGCCCGGCCGGGTTACATTCTTTTGCAGCATATTGAGAACACTTTTATCAATTACAGTAGCTGTAAGTTGACCATCTACCATTTTCTAGAAATATCAGTGTTGTTTAGGATTTTGCCCCATTTTCTAGAAATATCAGTGTTGTTTAGGATTTTCTAGAAATATCAGTGTTGTTTAGGATTTTGCCCCAATGAACAAAGTTGATATTTTTTTTTCTTTTAAGAATGAAGAAAAAAGCCAGGAGGTGGTGGCTCATGCCTTTAATCCCAGCACTTGGGAGGCTGAGGCAGGCGGATCTCTGTGAGTTCAAGGCCAGCCTGGTCTACAGAGTGAGTTCCAGGACAGCCAGAGCTACACAGAGAAACCCTGTCTTGAGGAACAAAGAAAAACAAAAACAAAAAACAAACAAACAAAAAAAGAACGCCGGGCGGTGGTGGCACACACCTTTAATCCCAGCAGAGCCAGGCAGATCTCTGTGAGTTCGAGGCCAGCCTAGGCTACCAAGTGAGTCCCAGGAAAGGCGCAAAGCTACACAGAGAAACCCTGTCTGTAAAAAAAAAAAAAAAAAAAAAAAAAAAAAAAGAAGGAAATAAATAAAAAAAGAAAGAAGGAAAAGAATTCAAGTAGGTCAAATAACAGTTGTAAGTGGCTGGGCTGAAATCAAAGTCCATGGCTGCCAATCGTAAAAAGTCCAATTAGAGGACATCTGGTCCGTTGCCATGACTAGGGCACTTGCAGAAGAGGCTGCTTCCGTCTGCTGGTCACATCCCATCTCTGTGCTTCCCCAAGGGCAGGTATTGGATGGCGCTGGCCTCCCCTGCCTGCCTCCTTGGCCCTCAGCTGACTGCAGGACCGAGCCACACCTTCAGCTCGTTTTGCTCTCCCAGAGTTCACTTGGGTGTGTGACTCATAGCACACCCGTGCCGTCGGCAGGAAGGAGTCATAGCTGTCTTCTGTGGGAGTGGACTTGATATCAGGCTCTTAAGTGTCTCCTTTGCTCCTCTTTCCTCACTCTGTCTCTCCAGGACACTTCCTGGTAAGTGACGGTCACACACCTTTCTCTCTCTCTTAGACTAAGTTCAAGGTCAAAAGTACAGATGTTGTGTGCATTGAATATGTATGTGCATGTGTGTATATGTACATGTATGAGTGTATTGGATCTCATTTAAATTTCATTCCTTCCCAAGAAGCCAAAATATTTAAAAGCTATCTTCAAAGGTTAGAATGGAACTGCCAATACCTGAACCTCCTTAAACTGTCTTTCAATTTGTGTATAGTTCACTGAGCTGGAAAGTCTTTTGGGTGCTCCAGAAAAAGAACTGCAGAGCAGACTCCAGGTCTTATTGCCTATTTGAGTAAAGTGACTTAAAAATATATATTGAATAAAATGTAAAAACCATCATCAACTTGGACACAGTTGGATAGGCTGGCCTTTGAGCGTCTCTGGTAGTCTCCCCTCCCAACAGCTATCAAAGTCCAGCTTTCCCTTTGCTAACGTTGATGAATGTAGTATAAAGGTAATGATAGTTGATTGCTAAGTTTTCTCAGACTGGCAGAAAAAAGAAGATAAAGTTTATCCAACAAAAAAGCCAGAAATATGGTGACATCCAGGTAGGTAGTCACCCCAGAGTTCTGGCCCTTGGCCTGATTTGGGTGGAGAGAGGTGGGATGTTCAGATTCATTCTATATTTAGCTCTGAAGACAGTGTTGCTAAGAGCAGGGCCAAGAGCATCCATTCCAAAAGTACAACGTGGATATAACATCTGGGAGACAGAGCTTAGAGATGGAGATGGAACGACGCATGGATGTCAGCCGAGGTCCTTGCTTGTCAGCGCATGGTGTAACATTGGCTCCGTATTAGAAAATAAACATCTGATGGGATGGGTAAGAAAGAGGGAGAGAGTTCTGAGCTCACCAAGTGAAGGTGAATAAATCCATAAAGTCTCTGTTATCGTGTCAAAGAGGGGCCATTCTTTCTCACAGATGCGCTACACTGGCACTGTGTGCTGTGTGTGTGGACTGGTTAGTTAGCAGCACCAGTCAGGATTCTGTTAAGCCAAATACTGTGCATGGATTTCAATCCCTGCATGGGAACTCTGTTTGGCTGTTTCTAATCCTAGAGCAGGATCCTAAACATCTCGCCAGTTTCCACCAGGGCTCCTGGAAGGTTTTGTTTTGTTTTGTTTTGGTTTGGTTTTTCGAGACAGGGCTTCTCTGTGTAGCTTTGCGCCTTTCCTGGGACTCACTTGGTAGTCCAAGGTGGCCTCGAACTCACAGAGATCCGCCTGGCTCTGCCTCCCGAGTGCTGGGATTAAAGGTGTGGGCCACCACCGCCTGGCCTCCTGGGAGGTTTTGTACAAACTTAGGTGCATGTGTTTTAGTTTGATGAGATGATACTGATACACTCGAGGACTAAGTAACATTCTTATTTATGGGCACACAGAAAAACTAGGAACCACCAGGACCCTGAGGTCCAGGGCTCAGGAAAGCTGTCAGATCGGTGGGGTCTTATCTGTGGGACCCCAGAAGTGCACCCAGTTCTGTGTTTGTTTGTTTTTTTTTATCCTAAGGAGCCCCAGAATTTCTGAGCCAAGTGCTGTAAGGCTGTCCTGTGGTAGGAGAGGGGACAGAGTTCAGACTGCTTTGTATTCTTATCTTGCAGGGCGGCATTCCAGAACATTCTGTCGGAGACCTGCAAGACAGACAGTGCTGGCCAAGGCTACTCCAGGGCTAGTCCTCCTCTCTAGCTGAAGGTCCCTCAGCACCAGCTGCCCGGCTGATTCCTCATCCACCTTGTCTTTCTGATTGTTCTTGCAGGGTTGTGGGAAGCACCTTTTTCTCACCTCTCCCAGGGTGTATTCTTCACAGGAACTTAATTCACTGGCTTATGAGACGAAGCCACAGAGACATATCCACAGAGTTTGGGCGGTTGGAGCCAGTTTTTACTACCAACTCTCTACATGGTGTCGACTACTGGATCTCCCGGCTGACGGCTTGGAGAATTTCTGTCGGGGACCGGGACTGTGTTAGGCGCAGCCTGAAACCAACAGTCAGATCACACAGGCTCCAAGGACACAGAGGGGTGGAAGGAGTACCCAGAGCTGCTCACAGCTGAGCTGCAAACGCTGAGGAAGCCAGCTGCTGGCTGGCAGTGACCAGCTCCGAGTGCGGATGAGACTCCAGACTTTAGTAACACAGGACTCATGCGTGTAGGGGCAGAGCGAGAGAGATCGTTGACTTTGCGGGGCAGAAAGGGTGGGAGAAAAACAGAGGGTTGGTTTTTTATCTATAGTTCTTGACTGCTGTTCCTAGTAAGAAAGGGACTTCAGACCCCAGGGGAAGCTCTGCTCAAGCCTCGGAGAGATGAGGCCTCTCCGCTCTCAGGGTGGCAGCTCCCATGAGGTACAGCGGGGTAGGGGATGAGGGATATCCTTGGCACATGGTGTACGGTGTTAAATCATGGTGTCTCTTCACAGCAAAAGAACAGTAACTAAGACAATCATAGATATCCTTCCTACAAACAGTGTAATTATCACAAGTGTATAACACTTTCCCCCAAAGCAGCCTGTAACTAATTAACTGTATGCGGAATCGGCATCTGTAGGAGAAGCACTGTGCTAAACACTACAGGAGACTGAAGATTTACAGTATCAACTTTGTCCTTGCCCTTGGAGAACTTACAATCTAGTGGACGAAATAGGACACGTCAATGAAACATCTTGAAAATGACTGCCCCACAGTGCTGATCTAAGTGAAATTTATCCCCACCTCTTTCCTACCTTTTCATTGCCTTTTCTCCCACAGGGACGTTCAACCTTCTCATGTTTACAGGCCAAGGGGCAAATGATAGGAATCTTTCTCCCAGAACCCAACTTGTTCCTGATCCCATGAAACTTAGTGGTTTAAATAAGAAATGTCCCTCATAGGTTCAAATATGTGAATGCTTGCTCCCTACTTGGTAGCACTGTTTGGGGGGAATGTTATGGAACCTTTAGGAGATTTAGCCTTGCTGGAGGAAGTAGCATACTTGTTATGTTACTGGGGGCAGGCTTTGTGAGTTTTCTCACTCCCCAGGTCTCTCCTGTATGTTGGTGGTTGAAGAAGTGATCTCTCAACCTCCTGTTCCTGCAGCCATGCTAGCTGCTTGCTGCCATGCCTCCCCATCTCATATTTCTGGAGCCCAAAGCCAAAATAAACTCTTTCTTCCATAAGTTGCCTTTGGTTATGGTATGTTATCACAGCCACAGAAAAGTAACTAATGCAGTCACTATTCATAAACAGTTTCTTTGCACTCTTCCATCTCCCCCGCCCTTTTCACAGGGCTCAGTGGTGTGTGTGTGTGTGTGTGTGTGTGTGTGTGTGTGTGTGTGTTGTAGAACATTTTAAGGTATGTTACTTTTGTTTATATTGCATTTGTTTAACTCTGTGAAGCTGTGTTACTGTGCCTGTCTAAAACACCTGATGGTCTAATAAAGAACCAGATGTCCAATAGCAAGGCAGGAGAAAGGATAGGCAGGCCTGGCAGGCAGAGAGTATATATAGAAGGAGAAATATGGGAGAAAAAAAGGAGTAAGAGAAGGAGGAGGACATCAGGGGCCAGCCACTCAGCTACACAGCAAGCCATAAAGTAAGAAGTAAAGAAAGGTATACAGGAATAGAGAAAAATAAAAACCCAAAGACAAAAGATAGACGGGATAATTTTTTTTTTTGAGACAGGGTTTCTCTGCGTAGCTTTGCACCTTTCCTGGAACTCATTCTGTAGCCCAGGCTGGCCTCGAACTCACAGAGATCCACCTGCCTCTGCTTCTGGAGTGCTAGGATGCGCCACCACTGCCCCGCTTAGACAGGATAATTTAAGTTAAATAAAGCTGACAAGAAACAAGCCAAGCTAAGGCCATGTTGGGCACCACACCTCAGCAGTTTCGGGGGTCTGAAGGATGAGATACCTGGAAGGCGTAGTAACGACTCAGAGACAATGTTCATGCAAGCTGACAGGTCACTTTGGGCTTCTGCAGTTGCTAAGTAGCTTTTGCTACAGCTTCTGCTTTTGCCCTGGTAATCTCAGTCTTTTATTATCATGAGCAAGGGGAAACAGAAAGAAAAGGGGGAATCACCTAATACAGAGTGTTCTCATGATTCCACAGGTTATTCTTAAAAAGTCACCAATGTGTTTTTTTATCATCTTTGATTAAACACAAAAACTATCCCAGGCGTAACACCAAAGCAAGTATAATCTATTTTTATTATTGATTATACAATCTTATGAGCACTTGACCCAGAGGCTAACAACACGCAGTTTCGCAAAAAAGGTAAAAATGAAAACAGTGGTTAGTGTACCAGAGAGTCATTTCATTCTTGCACAACCTGCTCTGACCTCAAGACCTCTGCAGCCGCCTAAGTTCCTCCTCAGCCCTCTGCAAACACCAAGCCCCATGACTGGTGGGCCACAAAGACCTCAGACAAGAAATCTGTCGCTGCAAGTCAGTGATTTTTGTCCTTCTTATCCCAACAGTTCCAAGGAAGACTGACCCAATTTTCAGAGTTTCCATGAAAAGAAGCTCGCCTTTCCTGGCAGCTCTTTTCAGTCTAGGAATCCAATAAAACTTACAGCAGGGCTGGAGAGATGGCTCAGAGGTTAAGAGCACTGGCTGCTCTTCCAGAGGTCCTGAGTTCAATTCCCAGCAACCACATGGTGGCTCACAACCATCTGTAATGAGATCTGGTGCCCTCTTCTGT